CACTTCCCATATAACGGCAATTTCCAGAAATACGAAAACTGCGATATTTTAGTAACTATTGAAGATAATTCACTCAAAATTGATATTTACAATAATTTTTAGACGAAAAATAAGAATATTATAAATTTTTGGAAAATGGGCGTAGCCACGCCCACTTATGGTTACATGTGTATATCTTGGTAACCGCTGCACCAATTTCTTCCAAACTTGGCACAGTTGTTGGCCTTCGCATAACATACCAAATGGCTGAAAATTTTTAAAATCGCTCAATAACCACGCCTACTTCCCATATAACGGTAATTTTCAGAAATACGAAAACTGCGATATTTTAGTAACTACTGGAGATTATTCACTCAAAATTGATATTTGTAATAAGTTTTAGACGAAAAATAAGAATATTATAAATTTCTGGAAAATGGGCGTAGCCACGCCCACTTATGGTTACATGTGTATATCTTGGTAACCGCTGCACCAATTTCTTCCAAACTTGGCACAGTTGTTGGCCTTGGTACAGCATAAAAAACCGCCGAAACTTTTTAAAATCGGACAATAACCACGCCCACATCCCATATAACGGTAATTTAGAGAAATACAAAATCTTCGATTGAAGCTAATTTATTCAAAATTGATGGTTGCAACAATTCTTTACCAAGAAATGCGTTTATGGTAAAATTTTGGAAAATGGGAGTGGCACCGCCCACTTATGATCACATATAAGTATACCGGTAACCGTTCTACCAATTTGTACCAAACTCGGTATGGTTATTGTACTTGCCACGTGTAAGCAAAACGTTGAAAATTATTGAAATCGGACTAAAATAACGGCCGATTCTCATATAACGGTAAATTTAAGAAATGCTTGAAACTTCAGTATTTCGAAATTGAAGGACGCTAATTTACTCAAAATTGATACACCTCGGCTTACCATCTAGCGGAAGGTTTCGGAAGGGTGAAAAAACATATATTTAATACTTGCGCCGGGTATTTAATGTTCGGCTCCGCCCGAACTTAGACTTTCTTACTTGTTTTTTAATTCATTAAGCTCATTAAATAATTTAAGTTTAACTTTACAAAGAGGTGGCAACCCTCCTAAATATTGTACAGAAATAAAGCCTTTTCAACCCCATTTTGGTTGATGAACATCCTTTAGTAATTCATTTAACTACTAAATGGTCTGATAAAATTTTTTTTTAACAGGTGGCAACTCCATTGGGAAAAATAAAACCCCATGGCACAGCAATAGGCCAAGCCCTTTTATTTGCGTTCTACAAAACCTTATGTATAATTTTTCGTAATTTTAATTACCTTTGAAGAATGCATTTTTTTATTTTTAAATATCGTTTGCGCCTGCACTTATCTTTTGTGAACATTCTATCAATCCTTGTAGGCTTTCAGCACTTATCCACCAGAAATTTAATGGATAAAAATGACAAAGCACAAATGTCAATTGAATCATAAAACTAATAGTTATTTTTACAATCTACTTATAGGTGGGTTTGTATACACACATATCTAAGAATAGTATGTAAGTAGTGCTTTGTAAAAGTTATGGATTTGGTTTTTTTTTAATGCATTCAATGTACTTTTTTATTTGCCACTTATATATTTAATGCTCGTTGTGGCTATCTGCTTTATTAATTGCATTGAAATGTGCGCTTTAATAATTTATTATTTTTTATTATTACTTTTGGTTTTTTCCTCACCTCATTCATGTGTGTAAACATACATATGTATGAATTTGTTGAAAACATTTTCTGTTGTTAGACATATGTATGTATGTATACTTTTTTGATCGTACCTAATATACCTAAATTTTTGCGCTTCATATGCTTATAATTGCTTACCATGATTTCGTTTCGCTTCTTGTAAGTTTTTTGCAACTTTTGGTTTTCTTTCGTTTTTTTTGTTGCGCACCCATGCGAACCTTTAACAAGCCTTTATTTAGCATTCGCAGCAGTTACCATCGTTGCGCTGAAGCAGCTAAACATCAGCTATTTAACTATGGCAGTTAAGCGCTGTGAAGCTTAAAAAGTTCTGCCATAAAAATTATAAATAACAATAATAATAGCATAAGGATTATGCTTATATACATAGCTATGTATGTGTGTATGTATGGGTGTATATATGTATATACATTAGACTGCATCAGTCCCCATATAAAAAAAAAATCAGTACTATTTTTCCATTGGAATTATAAAATCTATTATATTTTTAGCCGTCCACCAAAATATTTCGGAAAAATATTAAGATTTAAGTGAGCTGGACCGATTTGAAAATACCTCCAAAAATGGAGTTTTTTATGAATAAAAATAGTTTCCAATCGGTCCAGCCTACTTAAATCTTAATATTTTTGCGAAATATTTTGGTTGGCGTCTTAAAATATAATAGATTTTGTAATGCTGGCGGAAAAACCGCAACTTTTTTTGGTGATGCAGTCTAATATACATAAGTACTAGTTCGCCATTAAATTAGCTGCATTATTTGCTTTTCAAGCTTTGCTAAATGCAACCGCAATCGCTTAGCAATTGTTCTGTAGTCGGCATTTTTCTTTAGTTGCACTTTAAAGGCGCACCCATCTTGAGGTTGTTGTTCTTTTTTGAAAACCACCAACAACAACAACAACGAAAACAACTACACGAAAAAGCTGCATTCTTCTGTCTGTTTGCAACATCAACAAACAACTAAAAGCGAGAACAACACACAGCCTTTGGCATAAAATAAAGGTCAGTCGGTAGTAGTCAGGTTCATCGATTATTTGATTTGGCAGTGGCGTGCAGGAGGACTGGTTTGTTTTTTATGGTGCAGCATGTAAAATGTTAGTTGACTGACATTAAACTCGAAAGACTTAAGATGCAAACTTGCCACGGCTTAGAGCAGCTCACTGACAGCAAATGCTTATGCGGCTTGATGTACAAATTGGAAAGTGTTTTTTGCAAAATTTGTGTGTGGTTGTTTGCTGCCGTTATATGTATGTATACAGACAACATAATTTTAGTGTTATTGCTTGCGATTTTTAGTTGATGTGCAACTGCGAGTGAGTATTTTTTAATGCGCGTGCAGTTTCAGGCAAAAGAAAAGCTAGAAAATGCAAAAATGCACCCGTCACTCTAGCTAAGCGTAAGTGTTTGCTGTTAGCTATTTTCATCAGTCAATGTCAAGGATTTAATGTTGGCCAACATGTTTGTATGTATGTAGGTAGCTCGTCAAGCGGTGTTAGCACAAGCTATTGACCGTGTGTAGGCTGCGTGTAGCTAAAACAAAAAAAAGCGGATTCAATTTTTTAGTGCCTTTTGTTTACTTGCCTTACGGTTTGTTTGTATAATTTTTAGATGTAGTTGTTTTCTTTTTTTTTGCTTTGACACTCACGTCAGTGCTTTCTAAGCTTTGTCATGTTGATTCTGCGTGAAAGCAAAATCAAATTCATTTATAAATTTACACACAATTTCCATAACTGCAACTTTTACATAAAAGTGATAGTTCCACATTTTTATACAAAATGCAAACATAAAATTTTGGCAGCTAACAGCCTTTCTCTGTGGTTTTATTATGGTTAGAGCTTGTCAATGATTGACAATTAACTGTCTATAAAATAATGGAGTAGTTGCGGAAATAAAATCGATTTACATAATATTTGTTTAAGCCTTCAAGCTTTCAAGCCAAATGCAGAAAAATATCAAAAGACCCACCGCCTCAGTGGCGTCAGTTATAATAACAGTTCAACTCATTAAACTTAGTCAGTTGTTGAATTGAATTTGTTAAACAAACGAACTCAACCCAACCCAAAAATGATCACACTCTGCGGGGCCTCACCCTGCACTGCCCAATCAGTCGTATTCTACATAAGAGACTATTTTAATTAGTAATATTTTGTTTCTTAAATGGTTCAAAATTTAAATTTTAAAAACTTAAGAAAATCTTTTTACGGCTATATGTACATCTGATTTCGTTTTCTTTTGATTAAAAGTTTAAATTTTTTTAATAAAAGAATAAACATTCTACATGCATATGAAGGCGCATTAGGGTGCATAAAAGCTTTCCTCATCTATCTTTCCAATGGTGTTCAGAAATCAGTTCGTTAAATTCGGTAAATGAACGGTGACAAAATTTATGTTAGCGTATTAATATGTAGATGAGAATTTTACAGGTATTCGCAAATCAGTTTAGCTTACATAAATCTTAATATTTTTCTAAAGTCTTTTGGTGAAAGCCCTAAAGTGTTAAAGATTTTATAACTCCGGTGAAGAGGCGGTGTAATTTGTTCGGAGAAAAATTTTCGAAGAAAGTGTATAGCAAATTCAAATTCTATGATTAATTCTCAGGAAAAATGGCAAACACACTATATGCCAAAAATGACGCTTGACCCTTCCAATTTTCAAAAGAAAAAGCAGTATATTGTAACTTTTTTGCTCGAAATTTATTTTTCATTGTACCAAAAAATTTTCTCGGTTTTGTCAAGTATTTTCTTAAATATGAAGAAAACACAAAATTTTGTAAATTAAAAATTAATTTCGTTCAGAAAAAATTATAATACACTTATTTTTCTCTTAAAAATTGGGAGGTTCAAACGCTATTTTTGGTATATAGTTTATTCCAGGGACCGAAAATTACAGTTATTTTTTAGCAGCCAAACTTGGCTATATCAATTTTAAAGCTATTTTAGTCCTCTTTTATTTGATACCAAACTGGAACAGAAGGTGAAGTGGGATTCGAGAAATTTTCTTAACCAGGTTTTCAAATGAATTTAAAAAAATATACAAGAAGCTATGCAAAAAAAGCTTCCTTCACGAGTACTGCATTAATTTGGGTCAAATTCTGCAAAAGACTCTAAACCAGCGATGCGCAGAGAGTGCTCTAAACCACTGATGATCGCTTCCTTGTCCGCTTAAGTGTGTTAGCATATATAGATTTCAAAACAAATAAAGAGAATTAGTAAAAGAAATTTCAATTTAAATTTTCAACTACCAATAACCGAACTTTTAAACTTCTTCTTCTTCTTTCAGATCAAACACCCGCTGCTTCACTTTATTCACCACGCATTACCAGCTCATCGCCACTGGAGTCACCTTTCTTCTCCGCCGCGCATGGCGTAGTTCAAACACATCCCGCGCTGGGCAACAGCAATTCGTTACCGTTAAATGGCAATAGTTTGGGTAGTGGCGGTGTGTCGAGTACGCTCAGCGTTGGCAGTGGTTACCTGAATTCTCGTGGCAATTTGCCAAAATTCAATACACAACGCTACCCACAAATTGCGAATACCGTAGTCGATCCGAATCCACAGTCGCCATTCCGTCATTTAGATTTCTCCACCAGTGCCACCGCCGAACTGAGGCGTAATCCAACATTATCGGCGCCAGATGAGTGTGCGCGCGCCTGTCGTGAAGGTGAACCGCCACGTATTTGCTACTATCACTTCACCATGGA